GCATCAAAGACATGTCATAAAAGTGTTAGAGTAGATCTGCTATTTTTCAGTTCACCCCTCCAATTGGGATCCCTCGTTCTACCATCAATTAGATGTCAGTTCCCAGTGAATGGTTTTGGATTAGAGTAGGACCAACCAACATAAGTCCTCACACATGTATTGAGTCGTGGTTCCACATCCTGCTATGGTCTCGTGTGCAGTGGGTCCTGGAGGTTGATGTTGTGCAGACCCAACTTATTTGCTCCCGGACTGTGGTTACTTGGTGAGTCAGCCGGTCATTCATGCAATCCAGCTTCTGTGTGGTCATATCCAGAGGATGATGTTGCACAAAGCACATATCATTGCTCCTGGTGCTCCGCCTCTGTGAGGTTCACACCTGGAGGCTGATGATATGCCAAGAGGATCCAGTCCAATTTATTTTGGTTTTAAAGTGAACTACCTCACTAGGACGTCACTTTCTACTGTTTTTGGGATGTCGGTTTCCTGGATGGCTGGTGTTGGTTATGGCTTTGCACAAATGTGTCCTGTTTAGTCGAGTGACATGGTATTTTCTCTTCTCATTCTATCCAACTTGAGGTGAAGACAGTTTGGAAGTTGTATGCCTGATTTTGGACTAAAGTTGACCTACCTAGTATGGTTTGTTGTGCCCTAGCCAGTCGACATCAAGAGGGCACATCCATTTTAGCTTTACCCATCATTCTTTCTGTGACAAGAGACCCTACATACATTATTCTCCTGGACTATCATTCCAGAGATTTCAGTGAGACTTGGGGACAGACCACCACAATTTTTCATTTCTTGGATGTGTTCCTCACAATTTCCACCCACTTACACATCACTTACACGCTGGGCAAAGAGTATACCTGGCAGTCTCCCAAATGTGTTCCTTTCCTAATGGGAGGTTCACACACTATGGGTGTTCTTCAGATGTTTTTGAATTATGATTTTCTATATCCCTTGCAGTGGTCCCTCCACCATTTTAGTATGGGATTCTAGCTATTATTAGAGGAGAGGTAAGGTACCATATTAGAAGTTATTATTTTACTACACTGAAAATATATTTTAATAGGTACTTACCACTTCTCACATTCCCTACCCTTCCTCCCCAATACCATTGCTTAATTTCTGCCTAATCTCGAAGTGATAGATGAAATCGAATAAAGGTAGTAACATGCATCAGGAGGGTGTGTCACACTCCTATTGGTGGAGGGTTGTCACATGATAATTTACATGCAAAGAAAATGTAAACCTTAATTGTGGAGTAGGTGGAAGTTTATGGCTAGTGGCATGCAAAAACATTTGAATATAGAGAGCAGCATGATGGGAGGGAGGTAAGCACCCATCAGAAATATATTTTCAGTGTAGTTAAAAAATAACTTCAAAGCAAAACACCCATATTGACATGTTTTGTAGAGCTTGGTCCTTCTGTAACAAGTATATTCCATATAATTACTTACTTTTTGTACCAGTATCTCAGTATGTATGTGTGTATGTATGTATGAAGGCTGTTTATGTATGAAGAAACTTTGTGGGTATTACATAAATGAATAAATTGCTTTTATATATGTATTCTTATAGTATTTTCAATAAACATTAACTACTGGTGACGAAAATAGGACAGCTGAATTTATTTTTCATCTTTTCTAAAACATGCTCACCCATTGAGCTGTGGGGGGCATTACAATGTGATGATCAATTCCACTATTCTTTGGTAAAAGAGTAGCATAAGAGTTGGTGGTGGGTGGAGATGACTAACTGCATTCCCTCTAGTCTTTCACTGCTAAATTAGGAATGGCTAGCACAGATAACCTTCATGTAGCTTTGGGCAAAATTCATAATAAGCTAAAAACTAACCCTTGCCACTTGCCAGTTTTTAGTTGCTGGATTGGTGGATGATGGAGAAGCATCAACAGCTGGAGCTATACAAAGGAGTTGCAGTACAGTGACAAGTGGAGTAGTGGTGATCCCTCTCAAACACATAACTCACACAATACATATAACACCATATTGCATAATATAGTGCCCTCCTCCTGCAGCTGGAGTTTGTTCTATAGAGTCTGTTCAGTAGAGTTGAGGTGAGCACTCAATTTACAGTATCATTATGTATATTTTATGTTCTCTTCTCCTGCAGCCTGTGACTGTTTAGCAGTGTTGAGGTCAGCACACACACTATATGAATCCATAATGCATAACTATGGTGCCCTCCTATTGAAGCTGGAGTATGTTCTATACAGTTGAGGTGAGCACTCACTTTACAGTATCATTATATATATTTGATGTTTTCTTCTCCTGCAGTCTGTGACTGTTTAGCAGAATTGAGGTGAGCACGCTCTATACAAATCCATAATACATAAATATGGTGCCTTCTTCTTGCAGCTAGAGTATGTTCTGTACAGTTGAGGTGAGCACTCACTTTACAGTATCATTATATATATTTGATGTTTTCTTCTCCTGCAGATTGTGACTGTTTAGCAGAATTGAGGTGAGCACTCTATACAAATCCATAATACATAAATATGGTGCCCTCTTCTTGCAGCTAGAGTATGTTGTATTGAATCTGACAGTAGAGGTGAGGCTAGCACACACACACTATAGTAAACAACACTGAATCACTAACTTTCCCTCTTCCTCAGTTGAAGTCTGTCCTGTAGAGTCTGATGGTAGAGTTGAGGTATGCAGACGAATCAATACTACATAACTGGTGTGTCCTCCTCCTGCAGCTGGAGTCTGTCAGTGGAGTTGAGGTAAGCACACAAAGTATCTTCTGAATGCACCCTAATCACCGTTCACATATTGGCTATTAATCTGCTTATGTGCAGTTATTTGGATGGTTATGTTCTCATTCCACCTGTCCCTGTCCTTTCTGTGCAAAGAGTATACCCTGGCTTTTTCAAAAAATGTGGTTATTATGAGTGCAAGTGTATATGGAGAGTTATTACACACTTAGGTGTGTCACTCTCCTTTTGGTGGAGGACTTTTGTCACATGATGACATCATTGTGCACCAGTGCAATTCATGTGAAATTAGGTGGGGGTTGCCTCAAGGCTAGTGGTATGCAAATCTCTCTGGCAGACATGCAAGGAAGATAGCTAAACTGTGTGAGGAGGTGAGAATTGTTAGAAATTCATTTTCAGGTAAAGTAAATGTTAATTTTAACAAAATAAATGTATATTTTGTTAATACTTTAGGAAGAGAGTATCTTGTTGTGTATTATTTTTGGAGTGGCTATGTGAGTGGTCCTCAGTTTTGTTTTTTGATACTACAGAAATGATTTACTAAACTCTCAGTTAACACCATGTATATGGTCTTTTAATCAGCATGTAACCATGAAATTATACATATTATAACTTTTAATGTAGTAAGTGTATCTTTACAAAATTTTACAAGCTTTTAGTAAACATTACAAGTCTTTTGTACACAAAAACCAGATTGTTTAATTAAGTATTTTTCCTAAAGCTTTGTCTGTGAATTTATGGAGCCAAAGTGTGACTCAGACTGAATAGACTGAGTAAAAGGTGATTTTTCATCTTAAGATTAATTATGCTTTTTAAAACATTTTGTCCTCGAAACAACAAATAAGTCTATGGATGTACCACACTAAAATCTGCTGTCAATTCCCGAAGTAGACACAGCAGATAGCTCAATGTTACTTTATTCTAAAACAAACAAACAAACATTCTGTAAAACTTTATGTTTTATCTATTACTTGCTCTACCCTAACACTATATACGGGCTCAGTCCATTTGACAAACTTTGTAACCACCACAAAAAGTATGAAATATATGTAAAATACCTTTTTCCTTTCTTTCTAGAATGACTGTATGTTGTTAAAGCTAATTCACATTTCCAGATCATTTAGATTTATTGCTTTACTACCACTTAAGATTGACAGCTAAGTGAGTTATCACATTGTGGAAGCTTTATGTAATACATCTTCGAATTCCAGCATGCTCAGTAAAATTACAAGTTGCTGCACATGCAAGATGTGCTCCTTCCTTCAGGAATTTTATTTTTTCATATAATTTTTGTAACTGTCCAAGTAGGTTTCTAGTTTTTTTTTACATTTTAGTTACTTTTATAACAATAAGTAAATAATATTTTAAAAGAAACAAGAAATTTAGTACTTACATGTGTGTCTTGTACTTTTTTTGCACTTGAAGTTATGATGAAAGTTAACAAATTTTTTTAAAGAGGTTTATTAGTACTCTACTTAATTTTCATTTATTTTAAATATACAATTGAAAACAAAATGTTAACATGCAACATAAAAATGATGTCTGAAACTAATATAATTCAACTGGCTTTCTAACTAAGCTATATGTGTTTAAATATTTTCTTTAACTGGTTGAGGTGACCTTGGCAACATAAAACTATAGAATAGATGCAGAACAACTAAAAATTGATTGTGAGAATGAGCTAATCACACAAGAAAAGAAGTAAATTAAAATTTTCTCATTCCATTTGTTATGAATAATCCAATAACAAATGTCGGAGAGAATTATTTAAACCTTTTAAAGACAGCATTTCTAGGAAGAACACAACAGGCAAGTTTTGATTTATGGCATATAACTCATTTATGTAAGCAGAATAAACACTATAAGTTTTCATCTTAGCTTGGATATATGAAACTTGCAAGTGTGCAAGTCATCAGGAGCCTAGAAATAATATAGGGGGTGGAAAGAAGTTCTAATATGCTCAATTTTGAGTAAACAAGTGTCCCATGATACATAAAAGTGAAAATTGTGGATTTATTGAAATATTTTATTTTGAAATTAAAACCTAAAACTTGTATAATATTAAAACATGAATTATAAATTTAATTTTCATACCAAGTTTATTGAACTAGATTGATATTAAAGTAGCTAATTAAATTTTGAATATAGCTGTAAAATGATTGTGACGTGCACTTTGACCTACTTATATCTAGAGGATTAAAGCTCACCAAAGTAATATTCTGTACTGAAAATTTGTAGTTTTCAATAGCAGTTCTATAATTTCAGACCTGATTGAGGAGGTTGTTTATTCTAAACAAGAAGAATATTCATCTCTACAGAACCAAATGCTGGTAAGTGTGTGTAACGCCTTGTTAAAACATACACTGTAGACTAAATTTCTGTCTAAAAGATTCTTCTGACAGTGATTGCTCTAGGTGTTTGATTTTTTTTATCAACATTCAACATTTTATTACATTACATGTTTTTTGTCAGTTTTTCAAAATTGTCTCTACAGTAATAATATGGGAAGATTGTTTCAATAAATGAGTATGAGTGTATGGTTTACTCGTTCGTTTTGATAGTGTACCTGATGTTGCTTTAAAGTTAAATAATATACACAAGTCTATAATAAGTCCACTACTAATACCATACTGTAGTGTAGTGTGTGGAAAAATTATGAAAACTTCAGGGGTGTTTTCTAATGTAGTGAATAAGTCATTATAACTCATAGCTACTTGTGTTCAATGTTTTGAATCATAAGAGAATGTGTATATATATATAGTGTACCAAATTTTTCAAGTTTGTCCTGTTATATTAACAACTTCAAGATTTTACTAAATTTCATTAACACATAATCATTATTTTTAGTAAGAATAATTCTGTACTGTGGTATGGGAATATGTCACCCCTAAAATAAATGGAATTGTCCAAGACAAAATGTGGTAATTAACACATGTATTGTAAGAAATAACTTGCTTTATATTCTTGTGATAATAAATGCAAATACAACATATATTTATCTGGGTAAAAAAAAATGATGTTTTTTAAACAAATTTAGAAAATAGAAAGTACAAATTGTCACGATTCTGTAAATCGTCTTATCTTAGCAGCCATTTGTATATGATGGTATGTTTTTAAAAGATTTGCCAAATGGTTTTTGTCAATATCCAAATGTTTTAACCAGAAGTAAAAAAATGTTGCAAATTGCAAAATTGGTGAATGTTATTGCAAACCCCGCTTTTGAGGAATTCATAATTCAAACCAATATTTATCTGCAATCTCTCAAATCAATTAGATATTTGATCCTGTAAGTGGCATATGTTTTATACAGACTTCTATATTGTATTTTTTGATATTGCCTTTATGAAATTTTAAAAATAGAATTTGAATAAAAGAAAGCTACAATTCCTTGAAGGCAAAGGAATAAAAGCTGACATGTCATATCATAGGTGGTTGGTGGGTTTAATATTTTTACATCATCCATAACATTTAATTCCAATATGATACTTACCTCCAATGTTAGCTATTCTAATTCAGTGCTGCCTTCTATATGCGAACATTTTCTTTATGCATGCCACAAGCCTTGTGCTTCCTCCATGTTGGAATTAGTATTCCAATCTATTAACCAATAGTAGCATAGTATGCTCACATGATGCATGTGAATCCTTCTACACTCCTTTACCGAACCTTCACTTTTAATTTGGCATTCTTCAAGTGCAGACGTTTTTTTTTGTGCTTCTTACTTCCCGTGTGATACAATTTTGATTATTGTTTGAAATGGTTTTATTTTTTTTGTTTATACAATACCACATTTCCCCCAGTTTATTATCATCGCTTTTGTGCACTAGACAGTTGTGTGCAGTTTTTGTGAGTTATGAATCCTCGACATTACCACTTCATGGGTCACACCAACGACTAATCTTCTATCTTATGCCTCAGGTGGGGGCGACCCAACTGTGGATCTTTCTGATTTTGTCTGTCTGTAGATTTAATGCTACTTGGGTCACCCTTTGTCTCCTGGAGTTTTCCATTCCTTCCCAGTTCCAGCCTGACAATTCACCTAGGCCTTCCTTAGCTTTCACGAATTTTGTATCTCAGGTTTGTGTTGTTTTATCTCTTTCCCCTATTTCTTATTCCCTTCGTCCTTCTTTGTTGCATGAGCATTCTTCTCAACCATTTTTGGTATTTGTTCCCTGTCCTGGTATTTGGGTCCATGCAGATCACTTTCTCTTCTCCTCAAAAGCATCTGAGCAGTACACCTTTGCTTACCATTAGGTGGAATATCCATTTTTTGATCACCCGTTGTTAGGTTCCTTATTACCTTTTTTGGAGGTGGCTCCCAAATCTAATGATAGTCTCACCCATGCACAATATTCTCGCCTTCGTCTAACCCTTTCTACCCTTCTCTGGTATCTGCCTTCTATACATCTCCTCTCGGAGGCTTTCCACAGAAATACTGAGGGATTTTCTGCCAATACCCTTCACCTTCTCTCTTCCACTTTGGCCCATATTTCTTCCTCGGCTTTGTCGTTACATACGTCATTTCTTTGTTGTTGGGTTCTTATCAGTAGGGGCTCCATTCTGGCTCATGTTAATATACCCACCAATTATCTCAGAAATTTACGTCTTGCTCCTTTTCTTCAACATTTCTTTGACACCATTCCTGATTATATCAAGCCACGGGTAACATCCGCCTGACAGCAGTCCACCCTTTCAACTTTTGTGGCCCATTTGTCTCGACCAGAGCCTTCCATGCCCCCTATTCCTGTTTCTTGTCCATCCTTCCCTCATCCTTTACCCATTCCTTCAAATCCGGGTACTTATTTTCATTGAGGTCATCACTGACGTATCATCTGTCATCAATAGTACTTGTGACTATCTGGTGGATTCAGGGCCTTTGGGATCTCATTTGATTTTCTTCCTTGCTGGCTCCCCTTTGTCGAGGATCAATGGGTGACAAAGGTTCTTTCAGAGGGACTCATTCTCATGTTTCTTTCCCCACCTCCCATTTCTCCTCATCCCGTTTCCTTTCCTCTTCAAGATCCTGTGACTCACCAGCATCTGTAAGAGGATTTGCTTTCATAGTGGGCTATCAAACCAGTTCACCATCCCTTGAAGGGGTTTTACTCCAATCTTTTCGTGGTCCCCAAGAAAACTGGAGATTGGCGACTGATCATCGATTTGTTGCACCACAAACACTTCATCATACTCCCTAGGTTCACTATAGTTCTTTCTCACTCTGAGATGGGCATTTTCCTTGGTTTGTGAATGACAAAAATTGATGTTTCCAATGTGTACCTCCACATCCCGATAACCCTTCCATCCTGTCTTTATCTTCAGTTTGTTCTTCTCGGGGTGTTTTACTAATTTTTGGGCTCTCCCCTTCAGACTTGCCTTGGCTCCAAACATGTTTTATCACATTGTTCAGGTCTTTCCTTATTTGATTTGATAATTTTGCCTCCTATGGGGTTCTCCCCAATTAAATGAATTTGCCACTGGTCTCAATACAAAGTTGCCCTTCTTTTGTTCACCTGTCCTACATCTACAGGCTCTGGCTGTCGATGCCTTCAGCTAGGATTGGTCTTTATATGTACCATTTCATCTGTTTGCTTCATTAGGTGATTTCTCTTGTAGACTTCACTCCTTCTCAGGTCCTCCTGATTGCACCCCATTGGCAAGCACAACCATGGTTTCAGAGGTTCCAATGGCTGCTTCTCTTACCACTTGTCCATCTTCCACTGTTTTCCTCCCTCCTGCATCAACCTTGATCCCCTGCTCTTCATCCCAATCTGCCCATCCTGCATCTTCATGCCTGGTTTTTATCTGGTTGTCAGCAAGAAGATCTGGCTTCATGCATTCAGTTGCCTCAATGTTAGCTACTTCCATTCCTCCATCTTTTATGAAAATTTACCAGTGCAAGTGGAAGGTCTTTTGCTGTTGGTCCATTGGCAGGGGATTTCCTACTGCCAAGCCTTCGATGGCTCAGGTGGTTGAATTTGTTACCTGGCTCTTTGATTCTGGATATGTGGCAGCTCTTTCCCATACTTTCTGTTTCTCCAGATATCTTAAGGATTTTACTTCCCCTGTTCTCACTATGCTCATGTGTTCCTTCCAGATTCAGAAGCCTCTCAGACATATTTCACTTCTGGATTAGGTCATTAATGTGCTCCTCCATTTGAGCCACTTTCCTCATTCCTTGTTTCATTTGTCCCTTAAGACCTATTTCCTTCTCCATTTGTCCTGCAGATGTCACCAATCTGATTTATTTGCCATTGACGTTTCACGTACCCCTATCTTCTCCTTTATCCTGATCATTCCTTTATCTTCAGCTCAAGAAGGTTGTTCCACCTTTTCTCCCATTTCCCTACCTTCTATCTCCCATCTTTAACCACTTCCTGACCCTGATAGACTGCTGTGTCCCGTCAAGGCCCTATGATATTATATTGCATGTACAGCTACCCTCTGGGGTATATACACAACCATCTTTTCATTCCCTGCCATACCTTGATAAATAACTTTGTATGGTCTGCTTTTCAAAGTAGGGTATCATGGTCATCGATTGCACTGTCTCTGGTGATAATGTTCCTCCGAACTATTCAAAGCATTCTCATGCCCCTTCTTCGAGTGGAGTATGGGGGCCTTGACACTTTTCAATTCCAAGCTGCTGGAGTGGTTGACCATTGAGGCACCCACCTGAATGGGTTCTACTAACAAATTAGTTATAACCATTCAGTTGAGTGTAGGATGATGGTGTTCTGCTGGTGTAGATGCGACATGTCCCCCACAGGAGTTAATCTGTCCCCTTGCTGGTGGACATGGCCTCCTAATACTATTTACACTATAACAGGAATTGATCCGTTATCTTTCTAGATGATGTAGCCTTCTTATACTATTTACATATTCAACAATATCCACAACCACTGGAGTTGATCTTTCACTTTACAAGCTGACATGGCCTCCTCATACTATTTATATTACTGTGGAATTGATCTGTCACCAAACTGGTTGACGTGGCCTCCTTATACTATTTATACTAATGTGGAGTTGATCTGTCACCAAACTGGTTGACGTGACCTCCTACTATTTATTTACACATACAGTTGAATTAATCTGTCACCTTAATGGTTGACATGGCCTCCTGTTACACATTCCATACCAAATGGAGTTGATTTGGTTGCACATGCAGTTCACTCTTTTTTATTGAGAGCCCTCATCCTACCTCAGCATGGATGTTGGTTTCCAGTGTTGAGGTGCTGGATTCAAGTGAACCAATCAACATAAGCCCTCACACAAGTTGAATCCATCCTCTTGATGCCAGATGGCCAGCCCCGGATTCCTGTAGAATGTTGATCCTTGTGTAGTACCCAGGAATTGGAGCAGGTCTTAATCCCCAATTCTTGGTTTGTAGATGAAGATGGTATGATCCTCATCTTATCCTGATGCAGATGATGGTACCCTGGAGAGGAGGTTTTGGATGTAGTTGACTTGCTGAGTACAGTCCAACGTGCACTAGCCACTCTACACCTTGTGTTTTACGAATTGCACACAAGGACAAAGAGTATAGCTGGCTCAGAAGTGGTATGGTTCCCCTCTTTTGATCTCCAGATCGCTTTCTCTTATGGTCAGGAGTATCCTTCAGATACTTTTGGGGGTGCTTCTGTTATTCCCTCACACTGGTCCCTCCTCCTTCTCAGTGTGGGATTTTAGATAATCTTGTGACAGGAGGTAAGTATTCTATTGGAAGTTATAATTTTCATATACGAAAAATGTATTTCCTATAGGTACTTACCTCCTCTCAAACTTCCCTCCCTTCCTCCCCACTTCTCCAGTGCTCACACCTTCTGCCAAACTTTAAAGTGAAGGTTTGGTAGAAGAGTGTAGAGGGAGTCACATGCATCACCTGAGCATACTATGCTACTGTTGGTTAATAGATGGTGCATGAAAAACATAATGGAATGTACTAATTTCATCAAGGGGGTGCAAGGCTTGTGGCATGAGTAAAGAAAAGTTTACATATAGAGGGCAGCATTGAATGCATTGTGAGAGGAGGTAAGTACCTATTGGAAATGTATTTTCAGTATAGGAATATTATAACTTTTAAAGGAAAAGAAGAAATTACTTTTCAATAATTGTAACAATCATAGAATTATAAAGGAGTTTAATATGCAAAGACTCACTTGGTAATTTTCTCTGAATTTTCATGCACTAGGTAATAAAATACACAACCTATATTAGTTTTTAAATTTTATGGATTTGTTTGATCACAAATGTTTCATGTAAGTATATTTTATTAACAGAAGTTTTAATTTGTTTGTTGGTATTTTCTGTTTGAGCTTCTGAAGTAGAATTAAAATGTAGATGTACATAAACAAAGGCTCTTCACAGTATTAGTTTAACTAAGTTTTGGTTCTTCATAATGTATTTTTCATGTATTATACTTATGAATATGAAAATATAGAAAAAAAAAGTAATGTTAGTTCTATACCAATTTCACATTTTGGTAATTGAGATTTTTTTTTTTTCATTTTGTGTGAGTCTAAAAATTACATTTTAACTCTATTAACTTAAGAAATTTGTCATTTAAAAACTACTTTTGGGTTAAAACTGGTAATATAAAAAACAAAAACTTGTGTTATAAATTATTGATCTGTAAAAACATATTTTTATTGAGGAACCTGACATCTGGAAGACCTACTTAATGTTAGTAACTTATCAGGTGTAAAGTCTCCTTTGAGCTATTATTTTTTATCTGGAAGAATGCTTTGTTGAACTATTAAGAACACTGACCAGCTGTTATAAAAGTGTCATATGAGTCATGATGAATTTGATATTAAGAAAAATTCTTCTTAACTGTGTAAGTGAATAATTGAATGGCCATCTGCAATACTTCTTTAAGTTAGTGAGGGAATAGAGCTAAAAAAACTATCCTCTGAGTCAGTGATGTAGTGACCCTTAAGGTTGTTGAGTAATCCTGCTACATGGTTTTAATTATAATTGTACCAGAGTGTCACTCACTTGTTTGCCACATGTAATCAAAACTATACACCAAGAAGACTGTAGATTTAGTGCTCAAATAGCTTGATGAACCATCTGTTTTCTTCATAATAAGTGTTTTTCTCTCTAAAGGTTTAATCATGATGTCTTTTCTATGTTATCCAAGTGCATACTACTAGAACTGTCTCATTGTTTTATATATTTAATTATAATTAACATTCTTATTATAGTTCTGAATTGATACTCACTACCACACACAGAATAGCTTCATTCCTAGTGCATCTGTCTATGAGATTTGCATGCCACTAGCTTTGAGCTAACTCTTAACTACAAATCACATGTTAAACATGAAATGTGCTAGTGCAGGATGACATCATTATGTGATGATAGCCCTTCACCAATACAATTGTGACACATCCTCCTTGCACAGTAACTCCTCTTAATTACTTGCACTTTAAATAACTTAATTGCCAGATGAGACAAAAAGAAAATATACCAGAAGTGGAGAGGATGGGTTGGAAGGGGTAAGGAGGTTAATATCTATTGGAAATACATTTTCAGGTAAAGAAAATGTTAATTTCTGAGAAGATACCTTGTCACACAGAATAACTAGACATTTAAATGGTGGAGCAGTGCAAAAATTAAACCTAGCTGAGGTCACTTCAGAAAGTGCCTGAATGGAAAGCCCATGGAGTGTGACACCTGATGGCAGGGGCTCCATAGGGGCACACCCTTGAAAGGCTGCATCTCATCTTGACCAGGATATAGTCTTTGCCCAGAGTGAAAGGCAAAAAAGCCCAGAGTTTTCCAAGGGTGGGTAGAATTAGGTCATGACCAACCAAGCATGTGGCCACAAATGGTCAGCGAGCCAAGAAGTGTAGTGTGATTAGGGCATGATCAGACCGTACAGTGTGTGATTACCTTGACTCAATTGGACAAGCTCTCACTGTAAGAGGAGGGCACTGCATAGATAGTGTCACTGCCATCCTACTTCCCAATGGTGTTGTGGACAGCAGTGAGGAACTCTCCAAGGTCCACCATCCCAGTGACTAGGAACTGGTAAGTTGCAAGGGTCTTCTGTGCTGCACTTGAAGAAGGGGAAGAGAATTCATATTGTGGAGACCAATAGAAGTACCTGAATTCTCATTGCATGCCTGCCAGAAAGGTATTTTACTGGAGATGCACTCATATTAGTAGAATAGTACTTGGGGTGACCCAATTAGAATAACCAACTTAAGGTAACACACTTTAAAAGGAAAAAATACAACTTTGAAAATTCTGTTCAGCAGCACTGTAACTTTTTCATTTAATTGGTAGATAAAAATAAAATATAAAAGGCAAAAAGAGAAAAATAATTTCAGATGTGAAAATCCATGCTAAGTCCCTTTGGGGCATGAATTACAAAATTAGGTACAAAAACCTAAAGGTAAGTGTGAAAGATATGTCAGGAATGCTGCAACATTTACTAAAACAGTGAATTGTTTTATGTAAAGTTCAGTAGTTTTTTCTTTGTGCTTCGAACAGTATCTATGAAGATTACGTATGTAAAACCATGATAAATATGTAAACACTTTACATTTCCTTACAAAAGGGACTTTAGATAATGCATAAGAAACACTTTAGAAGAATGGGTGTAGTTAATATGTAGTTAGTATTTGAAAAAAATGGCATAAAAGAACAAATATACCATTCACTTAAATATGTAACATGAAAAAAATGTCTGTTAAAGTAATTAAAAGTTATTTAAGTTTTCCATCAGGAGCATTATAAATTTGTTAAAACTTATGCTTTGTTGACTTGGTCAGAAGTTCACTTCAACTGACAACATTTGATGTTCTGCCATAGCCCAGAATTTCCTTAGGTAGTCACACAAACATGTGTATGTATGATTGAACTAGTAAATTCTAACCTTCACCTAGTTTTAATACTGTAAACTACCTATTATCATTGCCTTAAAAAATTATAGGTGTATATGAATATTTGAACAATAAAGGGAAGCATTACAGTATTCCTTTTTTGAAGTATTAGTATTATTACCTACCTCAGTCATGTACAAAAACTGTAAAATTGTTTTACATAACTTACAGTAGTACTTTTTGTGTGCTCTCAGCAATATCTATGAACATATTTACATATTCTGGAAAACAAAAAAACATTTAATAACACTTGTAATCACAGGGTTTTATTTATAGTCTACATAATGTACATGTTTTGTTTATTAGTTTAAACTTGCTTATTATGCCTTAGACTTTTGTGTGGAAAACAAACTAACCAACCACATAATATTGATAAATATTAATGTACAAAGCACTGTCACCTGAGTTAAGTCAACAGTTACAACTAACTGTTAGAAGTTGTATATTTTTAGATTGAAGTTCTGGAGAAAACACAAAAATTTCTTCAGGACCACAGTTTCGTAACTTAATTTTCAGGGTTCATTCTTATTAGTGTTATTTTACAGGCTGATCAACATACATCCCCTACCACTCATGAAGAACAACGTCCTGTTTCAGTATCCAATACAGATCATGAAATTTCAGTTAGAGAGCAAACAGCCAGGTTATCAACAGAAGAAGATCCAGAATATGACAATGAGAGAGAAGATAATGAGGAAACTACACAATAGTTTCAAGTTTTAACATCAAACATTTCAAAGCTACAAAACTAACTCAAAAAAAGGATATAGTGGATAATTTTTGTAAGCTGTCATTTGTGACTATTCATCTAATTTTATATGTTAAATGAAATGAAAAATTGATGTGTGGAATGCCAGTAAGTGTATGTCTTTGTAATAAATATGAGTTATCTTGAAATAATCTAAAGATGTTATAATTCATTTTTCATTTATTTTTACCTTATTTAAGGCGAATTTAGACTATTTTTGTGGTTTTTCATAATTAAGAATTCATGAAAATGAGGGTGTAGAAATTACTCTTTTAAGCACTAAAAATGTACAATAAATAATTTAACAAAATATTATCTAAACATAGCTTGTAACTGCTGATATGATTGAATTATATTTATATATTTACTAGTCGAATTGTACTTCATTAGATATGTCTATTTCACAAATTAATCAAGCATTGTACTACACTGGATGTGTGTATTACACAAACTAATCCACTTTCGATGACGAGGAACCCACTTTGAGACTAATAATGATTGGAGACGGCTTGAATGGCTAATGAAGAAAAACTTTAATATAAGTTTAACATAACAGCAAATGTACAACGTTTCGACAAGGTTTTGTCATCATCAGGTACAAGTAATTTACACTGACACGGATATGTATATATATACAGTATTGAATAAAGAAGTTACATGACCGGAATTGTTGCAAAACTTAGAAGAGGTATCTAGGCGCCCCGGGGTGTTGGTTTAGAGGTGTAGGTTGTTTTGTTCAATTAAGATGGATTCCTTGATTTTTCGTTTGCAGAAAAAAAACTCCTAAAAGTAACCCGGAATTCCAAGTATCAAGAAATGGACTACTTACAAAAACTCAAACATAAATTAGACCACCAACTAGCCTGCTTCCTCAAACCAGATGATTACGGCAATATACAACGCGCTATCAACCAAAACAACTCATTGTTGAATCAAGAAAAGAAGTCTCTACACAATAAGAAACTAGATCAACTAAGGAAACTACAACAACGTGAAGTGAAACACAACAATGTAGCTCAGCCTAACTTTGTAATGAACAGATATGACCAGACACTCAACGACACAGAACTTCAACTTCTAAACAAAGGCCTCAACTTTGCCGTCAACCACAAAACAACTCCATGCCTAGAGCTCAAGGCGTGGCTAGTAGAGCTAGCCAGAAGACTAGTGACCGGCTACATAAAAGAACAAAAGACCACCTCTACCTCAAACATCCTCCAACTATAGAAAGAAGAAATCCATGACATCAACCAACAGACTTTTATCACAGGTAACTA